GATTTATTCTCAGGTCCGGAAGCACTGTGACGATCTATTTCAGGTTCGGGACCTTTGTGGTGATTTATTCTTAGGTCCGGAAGCACTGTGACGATCTATTTCAGGTTCGGGACCTTTATGGTGATTTATTCTCAGGCCCGGAAGCACTGTGACGATCTATTTCAGGTTCGGGACCTCTGTGGTGATTTATTCTCAGGTCCGGAAGCACTGTGACGATCTATTTGGTGATTTATTCTCAGGTCTGGGAGCACTGTTACGATCTATTTCAGGTTTGGGACCTCTGTGGTGATTTACCTTCAGGTCTGGAGTCACTATGACGATGTATTTCAGGTTCGGGATCCTAGTGGTAATTTATTTTCAGGCTCGGCGGTGATTTTTTTTTTTCAGCTCCGGCACCGCTGCGGTAGATTATTATCCAGATTCCGCACCCTCACGGTGGCATGTGTCAGGTTCGGTGCCATTAAGACAATTTATTGGGGACACTTTGGCGACTTATTTCAGGTACGCCGCCGCCACGGCGGCTTATTTCACGTTTTGCGGCTTCGGGATGATTTATTTTCAAGTCTGGAGACTGCCGCGGTGGTCTGTCTCAGGCCCGGAACCTGGACGGCAGGTTATTCCAGGTTCGGTGCTATCACAGGTAATTAACTCAGGCTCGGCACCATCACTGCGGCCATCTATACCCGGTTTGGTACCACGACGCCCAGTTGTTGACCCGAGGACGGTGCTCACGTACCACCCGTAATGAGCCTGTGCTGGGCCTGGTACCGACGGTCTCGGCAGTACAAGCAAATGTGGAATGAATATAGGGGGGAACAGAGGAGAGATCGGGGAGAGCATGCAAGGTGTACCTGGCCCACAACATGGTGGGATCCGGGCAGGTCAACGGGGAGGGGAGCAGCATGCAAGGCGTCCCACGCCCACGTAACTGCACAGCGGGAGCGAGAGACTGCGTGTGAGAGGGAGAGTGAGAGAGAAGGGGACTGTGCGTCTGGCGTACGCAGTCCACACAAGCTCTTCGACTCGGGATTGGAATTGCCCGGTTGAAGAGTATGACGAACAGAGGGAACGGTGCGCAGTGGGCAAGCGACCGCAGAACACGCAACGAACGAGTGTCTCAGAACAACGGACCAGGAGACTGCAGCGGAGATGGTGGTGGGTCGTACCTGTTCGTGAGGCGCTGCGGTTCAGTGCTGGTCAAGAGGAGCATGCTGAAGTTTCACGCARTTGGCGACTTTCAACTTTCAAGAGAGGTAAGGGAAGTGCGAAGAGAGGGCGGAGAGAGAGAGGAAACCGTGAAGGCATACCAACCAGTGAGAGTGTGAAGAGGAACGAGACAGAGAAGGAAAGAAACAGCGAATGAGGGAGAGGGTGGCGACCACGGGGATTGAAATCCACGACACGTAGGCAGCCAATCTGTGAAAAATGGCAACAGTCAAGTGCCCCAATCATGGGTGATTGCTGAGTAGTGAGAGCCCTGCGAGTGGGCTGGGTTCTGATGCTCCACTAATTAACTGAAAATGGTCATTTAGTACATTTACTCATTTTATTAATTTTGAAATATTGAAAGATCAGCGAATGTGTGAATAGTGGGAACAGTCAAGCGCCCCAATCATGGGTGATTGCTGAGTAGTGAGAGCCCTGCGAGTGGGCTGGGTTCTGATGCTCCATTAATTAGCTGAAAATTGTCATTTAGTACATTTACTGATTTTATTAATTTCGAAATATTGAAAGATCAGCCAATGTGTGAAAAGTGGGAACAGTCAAGTGCCCCAATCATGGGTGATTGATGAGTAGTGACAACCCTGCGAGTGGGCTGGGGTCTGATGCTCCACTAATTGGCTCAAAAACACCATTTATTGACTTTATTTATTTCCAAATATTCAGTTTGGTGAGCCCAACACAGATCACGGGAGCGAACCAACAGAAGGGAGTGCTTACGAGAGTGAGAGAAAGAGGGAGAGAGAGAGAGAGAGAGAGAGAGAGAGAGAGAGAAAGAGAGAGAGAGAGAGAGAGAGAGAGAGAGAGCCCAACCCAGATCACGGCAGCGAACCAACAGAAGGGAGTGCTTACGAGAGAGAGAAAGCGGGAGAGAGAGAGAGAGAGAGAGAGAGAGAGAGAGAGAGAGAGAGAGAGAGAGAGAGAGAGAGAGAGAGAGAGAGAGAGAGAGAGAGAGA